CAGCCCAATAAAAGGAAGTTTTGAAACCCTTCCTGGAAGCATGAGCCTGAGTTGCAGAAATCAGTGCCAGAGGACGTTAAGGAGGACGAAAGTTTAAATGAGCTAAAAATGGAATTAGGGGGGTTCATGGAGCTGTAAAACGCAACTGTCTAGATGTTGTCTGCTTATTCTCTTTAAATCATCAATTTAACAAAAAGTAGGAAGAATATGTCCTGTTTTTATATTCTTCACAGACTGCTTGTTCTGTGCCATGGTCAAGGACAACATTCAAGGTACTACTACGACTGTTGCGAGTTAGGGGCCTTGGATTTCTTTCTGCAGATATAGGAGATACTCACTTCAGTGGATATTTCTTTTTGTTTGTTTGTTTTTAAAGGATGCCCTGAAAAAAAGATTTTCAAGTGGTTTTCACTCTGCTCTGACATGTGTAAGGAGGTAATGCAGAGATGTTCAGTAAGACTCTGTAGTGATCAGGGAGGTCAGGTCTTACAGAGTCTTCTACTCTTTGACAAGCTTTGCAGGTCTTGGATAGAAATTGAATCATGTATTTGTCCTTACACACTCAGAACAGATCCAAATTTCACTTCATATGTTTAGAAAAATGTGCTGCAGTGTTCTGTACTTCTTTAGTGATGGTTTATGTCCTTTAAAATTATATTCTAACCAGCTTCAGCATGGAATTTTTTTATACAATATTTTGTCAAGAAACATAGATTTAATAGACTCTGTCTCTCTTTCTGCCCTTGATAAGGATGATAGTTGTTTCCTTATTGGTATAGATACTTTGGTTGAATTGCCTACGTCGATTTTGATTTCAGAAAATTAGGGAAGAAATTAATACCAGAATTCGCTACTTGTTACACAAATGTTTTTTCTTCAGCTTCTTGGTAGGTGACAATCTCAGACACTTTTAGGAATCAGTCCATAATAGCACATTTTTGGCTTACATTTCAGGGTTATGGTAGTGTACTGATTATTTCTGAAAAAAAAAAATGTGGCTTGCAGCTAGTGATTTTTAGCATTAAGGTCTTCAGAATTGAAATGAATATTTGCAAGTGCACTTTAGTCCATTCTCCACTGTTTTTAGATTCTTTTATTCTCCTTTCCTGGAAGAAGAAGTAAGATAAGACTGAGGAGATAGGCGTGGGGGTGGGGAGGTGTGTGGGAGAGAGATTAACAGTGCTGAAGACAAATAGCTATTTGGCTTTTCTTCAGAGGTTTGAAATTCCTAAAATATTTGGGTTTTGAGATCTAATGTATTTAGTAAAAGAGAAAAAAAATGCTAATGTCATTAGCATTTTCATTTATGGATAATTCTCTTTTAAGTTGTCCTTTCCCAAGAGTAGTTTTAAAATTGGTGCTAGTTATTCCAGAAGAGAAAGCAAAGATTGCTTTTAGACTGGGGGTTGGGACTTTACTTACACATGAATCCCTGAAGAGTAGAACCACTTGTTCTGTTTAGCTCTACCTTAATTGTATTGAAATGTTTCAGCAGATAGTTATTATTTGAAATATCATCTGTCACTTAAAAAGGTATGTGAAATTATCTTAGAATATCAGTCATAAGAGTTCCTTGAATTACTAGTTCACAATTTAGAGTCATGCAAAAAAATTTTCATAAATTGTTGGATGAACATTAGTTCTCTAGTGAACTAGCTGAATTATGCTGAAATACATATATCATTGAAGTTATATCTATATAAAATAATATATTTTTTGTGGAATTACCATGGGTGTATCCTGCCTTAGCAAGATATATGACTTGATCTGAAACTACTGGAAAATATTTTCTGTTTATATTAAAAAGCCTAGGAAAGCTGCTTTCTTTTTTTTTTTTTTTTTTTTTCTCCAAATCTTCTTGGCACATGAGTGCATATGATGTGTATCCTTTGTCTTCTAAAATTCCAGCAGCCAATGAATGCAGTTATGAAATTTTGCTATCAAAATCTGCATTTTTTATCTGTATGGCAAAATTCAAGTGACTGAAGTCTACAGATGCATTATGTGATTGGTCAGATTACAGATTTGGTTCCTGAAAATACGTCCTCTCCTTGGAAGAAGATCTGAAAGGATGTGCATTGGTCAGAAACAGGCAGAAGTTCCCAAGCAGCAAAGATCTTAGTATTTCACAGCTCTTCCCAGCTGGGTTTCTACCTAATTTGGCACACATATTGTAGTTGACCTCAGACAGAATAATTCAGATGTTTGAACCTCTTAGATGTGTAGCCAAAAGCGAGCTGTCTTGTTGCATGTATTTTTAAACATCTGCAAGCTGAGCTGGGAAGCAGAATGCAAATTCTAGGGCTTGAAGATACCTGTGAGGTTATGAGAATCTCTTTGAGATCATGGGGAATCCTGGAGCCTATGAACATATGTTTTTCCAGGCACACTGTGTTTAGTATTTGCTTTAGTTTCTGGTATTCCAAGCACAAATGACAATAGAAATAGCTCATCAATAATTTAAGAGTAAATGTACAATCTGACATAATATCTTTTGTTGAACCTTTTAATGCATATCCCATGAGGACTAGAGAAATTATTTCCTGCAGTTTGTATTACTGCTATATTCTGCTATAGGAATAATTTGTTGTTCATGTATGCCAGAAATATTTAATGCAGTAGCCAGTTAACACTAACAGAATTGTTTCTCTTGGTAGCTCTCTTTTATGCAGTGTAAGTACCATTACATAGAGCAATGACATTTGCAATAATACATGTACACTGCAGAGGAATTCCCATGCCTCATAGTTACAGGAAGATAGGCACTAAGTCCTCATGGTCCTGTGGGGATTAGGTGGGGAGATTTGGGTTAGCATTTTGAAGCTATAGGTTAATATAAAGATGTCCTGATTGTTTTATCCTGCCTGAATATTGTATATATATTCCGTGTTTTCACTGTATAGTACTTTTCACTTGAGATATTCCCTTATCTGACCGTGATTTTTAAACGCACAGGGGGGAAGCTTGCATTTCACCAGGGTGCCCTACATTCACTGGTTAACCTTTTGAGGCAGAACTGTATTCTCTAAACATTGATTTTTGAAATACTTAAATTGTCTGCAACTATAGGTTTGATTCCAAGAAAGGATAATTGGTTCTTTATAAAGCCACCATCGTACAGAATAGCATGAACTCTGTTGGTGTTTTTCTGTGGAGGTCATTCTCATAAACACATGATAATCCGGGATTCTTTCTGCTATGAAAACACATCACTGTTTTTTTGTTTGTTTGTTTTTGATTTTTGGCTGTTTCTTTGTTGTAATGGTGACTTTTGGCCAAACTCAGGTTTAGTCTTAGGCACAAAACTTACACCTACCTTCTTGTGTTAGCCATGTAACAAAGTTACATTTCAGTGGCTAGTGAAAGGACTTGTCTGTGCAGGTGTTCTTAAAGCCCTCTCAAATCCCTGAAAAGTTGCAATCTCATTTCAGAAACATTGCAAGCATCGATTAACATAAGGCAAATAAATGGATGCGTATCATCACATTAGATGATTTCACATCACTTGCTAAAACCCAACACCACAAATTCAGTAGGTTCAAAACTTCCCTTGGGTTTGTGCAGTTCCAGTCTGTGAGGTCCGTTGTGGCAAAAGCTGTTGTTTTACAAATGTGGACGAAGCAAACAATGTGGGCACCTGCAAGTTTGTGAGTTCATATAGCTGTCCCCATTTGGGATCGGCTGCCAGTATGTACTTAAAGATGAGGCATGCTGTCATCTCTCTATAGCAATCCTTCTTCTGACTTTTTTTTTTTTTTGATAGAGAAGTGTGTTAGCTTGGGAAAATGTGTTTTCTCAGCCTCAAGTTTTAGCAGGATAGTGGAGAGGGTAGCTTGAGGAAGCAGTTGAAGTTGCCACAGATATGGTTTCATATGATATTGGGGTCATGTGTGCTTCAACATCTTCAGTTAGGAGGCATGCAGGAGCAACTTCCCTGAAAAGTGCCCTCACTGATTTTAGCTGACTGAACTATGTTTAATATCCTGGCAGTGATAACTGAGCATAGTATCTTCTGCAGTCAATGAACACGAGGAACTGCAGTTATGACCTTTTTTTTTTTCTCCTCTGTAAATTGTTGGCTTTGGGTTTTGGGTGGAGGAAAGCCCTGGGTGGAAGAAAAGGAGAGAAATAATTGAGCCTCATTCCATAAATCAAAATATCCAACACGATCTAGACAGGAACTCAAATGTATTTCTGAACACTACAATCAGTATATTTAGGATTGATGATTTGGCACATCAGAAACCCATAGTTTCAGTGGCCTTAGCTATGCTAATTTCAATTGAAGATAATGTATCTAGTCAGCAAATTACTAGAGCATATTACAATAGGTCCATACAAAACTGCCTGATCTAGAAGAAATGTATTAGAACTGCACCCTTTTATGCTCAAATAAAATGTTTATGGGAGATATGTCACATTTTGGAAGGTGCTAACAGGGATGCACATCATTTGGAAAAACAGAGCACCTCTGAGAATGGCAATTTTCCAATGCTGAGCTGAGAAACTACTGCCCAAGCAGTGTTTCAGGAGAACAGACACAAGGCAAAGAGATCTCCTGCAGATTGTTTTCATAGAACAATAGTGGTTCATTTAGTGCTTGGGTTCCCCCCCCTCCCTCCTCTCCCCTTTCCCCAATAATTGTGACATTTGATTAACTCTGAAGTTTTCTGCGGTGTCTCATGATAAGGTAAACTATTTGCATTCTGAAATGTGGAGCTCATTAAAGAAATAATTTGGCTATAACATGAAGAAAAGCTTAATTAATAATAAGCTTGAGAGGAAAGTACATTCTCTCTGGAAAAAGAAAAATAATCAGTGGACTATCAAGTGAAAGCTTTGAGTTGAGTCTAAGTGTATTTGGCAGCGTGGCTGTTCTTGTGGGTTTATTTCTGTCATCTTAACACCGGGCTTGTCACAAAGCAGCTCCAACGGTGTCATTTCAAACTAGGATGTCACCCACAGTGTGGAAAACAACTTTTATACTTTCTCTTCCTCAGGATTTGCTGACAGAGCCGTGAAGTTGCCAGAGATCCTCCCTGTGGCCTGAACCGATGCCCCCGGGGAGCCCCGCACTGAGAGCCACAGACCTCCGGGTGTGACGCAGGTGCGTGAGAAGCACAGGGAATGCGACTCCCTATTGATTTTACATTAATGTTTGACACTTAGAGTGGGGGTCATATTCTGGTGGCAATTACCCTCAAGACATGCACCATTGTATGAAATAAATGTCAGTGCTTACCCTCTGTAGAGCCGGCACTCTGCTGATGCACACAGTTGAAGATTATGAAATTTTAAGCCATCTCCACTTCTCTCCTGGCTGTATGTCCTAAAATAATTATTAAAAACATAATGTAAAGGTTATTTTTATGCTCCTTGTTGCTGTTCTTTAAAGTCTTAGGGCAAGAATAAATGGTCATGTTAACCAGCAAGGGTGAATGTTTGCCTGGTCTCTCCACTGTGCAGCACCTTCTTTAACTCCCTCAGCCTCTCTGTTGACTTTTTTCATGAAGGCCAGATAGTAATTACAGGAGAGAGAACACTAATGTTTAGGATACATTAACCAGTTCTGATAAACTATGAGACAGCGATTGACGGAAATCAGTCGAGTTCTGAAAAAATATGCGTCAGGTTTCCTGTTTGATGATGTACACACACATATATAAAAATTCTAATATTTTTCTTGAGTTTTGGTTTCTAAGCTATTAGAAGAGCACTCAGGTGCAAGATGAAGCTTTTCTTTGTAATTTTATTGCTAGTGAAAAGTGCGTGCCTCATAACTACAACTGAAATCCGCTATTCTTTTAGTCAAATACCGATGCACAATAAAGGGAAAAAAAAAAAAAAGACATGCCCACCGTACTATGTCAGAGTATAAAGTTCACTGCTGTGGGAGCACTCTGAGATATGCAGAGAAAAGCTATGTTTGTTTTGTTTTAGCCTGCTGCTGAGAATAACAACTGCTTCGCTGTGGAGAACACTGTCCACTGATATGTGGAGAGAAACATCTTATTAATATATTTTAATGCCAGAGAAATAATTTGATAATGTGAAATTATTTGATTGTTGCTATTCTGAACCTTAAGACTGGACTGGAAGAGTCCAGGGCATGAGCTTTCCACAGTGACTGAGATCACCCAGAATTATGGGAGCTGTGCACTCTCCGCTCATAGCTGGCACCTTCAGAGATCAGAGCTTAATTCTCACTGGAACTTCTCTGGAGCTGTCAGTGGCCTTTAACTTCTTATAGACGAAAAGCAAACTTATCTTACAGATAAAAACAAACAACAAAACAAAACAAAAAACTAATATAAATGATCCAGGTTTTAGGAAAGGTACCACATTATTTTCATAAAAACAAACATTTTTAGAAGAAATACTTTTGGCTGGACAAATGATTATGTACTTCTCACTTTCAGCTTTCTCTGTGAGTTAAGGAAAGATAAAAATGTATGGCTACGATGGTGTGTTACCTGTTTTAACATTAAACATTACTTAGTCCAGTTGGTCTAAAGTAACTAAGAAACATTAGAGGTACCAAAGTAGCTGCTTAAAATAGATAAACTCTTCCGAGACATTACAGAAAGAGTGACTTGTTTGCTTAAACTTAAATAAGAATTACTTCCTGGTGTCTTTCCCAAGTTTTGGACAGGTAATACATTCCAGGCTTAACATCAAAGCTTGTGTAATCTCTCTTCTCATTAAATTCTTTTCAGTTACTGTACAATGATTTATGTGACTGCTGTTGCTAGTTTAATGATTACCTGCTTTTCTTGCTTTGTTTTCTTGCATAGGATCATGGGTTCACTAGCCAGCCACTTAAGTGATATCAGTACTGGACTAGAAATGTTAGATTTTTATACTGGAATTACTGGAATGTCTCCACAGTGTGAAAAAAAAAGGGGGGGGGGAAGAATTATTCTTTCACCCCTGAAGAAATATAACACTGATTAGAAACTAGGTTATTAAGATTAAGATTGGAGAGAGCTATTGCTTGAAACTGTGCTAGCTTTTCATATTGTACTATATTGGAAAATGGTACTATGACACAATTAAAAAAAAAAAAGGAATTAAAATTACTTTTGACTGTATACCATTTTCAGTGTTCTTTAATTCACAAATACTTTTATTTCTTCACTAGTAATCTGCCAAGTCTAGAAAAATTTTTATTTTAAATTCAGAGTAAGTTACTGCATATGTTTTTAACAGGGTATTATACTAAGATTATTATTTCTTTCCTTACTGGCAAGATGTTTTCCAGGCATAAATGTAAATGTTATAGCAATCTAATTGAACAATATTTTTATATTACTTATGTCGTCAAGAACATAAGGTATTTTTCAACAAGCTAGAAAATATATGTCAAGTTTCAGTTACATAGAAAGACTCTCACCCAATTTTTATTTTAACACATTCTCTTATTCAAGATATTTCTAAGAAAAATATGAGAAATATTTAATTTTTTTTTCCCAACAAGGAAAACAATAGTGAGAATAGCAGAAACTGTTTATTTGGTGCATAAAAAGCTTCTCTGTTCATAGGAGATGCAAGTACCATTTGTTACAGTGTGTCAGCGAAGTCCTTTTTTCATGTTGTGGATTATAGTTTGCTTACAGTTTCCAGTACAGAAAATTATTTTAAGGTACGGTTTAGGCAGTAAGCCTGCAATAGTTTATTATGTTGTGAATTTCTGTTGCTTGTTCCTATTGTGCAGGTAATGACTTTGGAGGTGGAGAGTAAAATGAAATTCCCCATTGAGTAGATAAATACCCATTTATTACTGCTTCTCTAGGTGCCAAATTATAGACTAGTTGATAGTGAGAACCTCTATCAGATTTTAGCCTTTGACTTGAGATGAGTGAGCTAATCACATGACTCATATCACCTCCAAAGAAAAAGCACCTCTTCAGAAAAAGTGGTTGAAAGACTGTTGCTGCATTATTAATAAAAACAGAGGTAACACAGAATCCCTGATGTCTCAGGATGATGAGGTGAGACTTTGAATTGTCCCATAGGAAACAGCTTTATTTTATTTATTTTCTTCCAACAGGTTTTGCATTTCCTTTGTTGCCAGAGGCAGCTGTAATGCTTTCAAGTATGGAGTACAAAATGCAAATAGCAACTCTACAGTTGATAAGTGGTTGGAAATGTTCAGTGCCACAGAATGGCAAACCTGCTTGGAATGTATCTCGTACATATATTTCTACTTTGTAATACATCTGCTTAGACTTCCTGGGTAGCTTTGACAAGTAAGGAACAATGTGCAGTGATGCTCATACTCTGCTAATGTCACAGCGCTGGCAATACGGTATGGTAAATACAGTACTTAGGGTGAGCATCTAAAGAATATAATACTGCTTTGGTGAAAAAAATCACTGTTGCTTATCAGTAACAATGAACTTTGAATTTATGAAGGAGATATATGTCAGAGGCTGATTATTTCTTTAACGACGGATGGTATCATTTAGTGACATCATTAAAAATGAACAATTTGGAATCATCTATGTTTAATGTGTAGTATCACCATTTGTATTTTGACAATTTGGAATCTGTGCTCTAGTAGCTCTGCCCTGGGAACAATGACTATCAAGTTTGGCTGGTAATGTATAATGAGAGCCAGGCTGGTAATGTATAATGAGACTGATGACACCTAACCCATGTGAAGTACGAGGAGCGGGGGAATCCCTCTGGTCTAGTACAGCCTTAAAACTTACAATTCACTGTTGCTCTTTCAAAAGTGACTTCTTATTTTCATACTATAGTACACTATGATTCTTGCTTAATGGAAGTAACTTTGTTCAGGTATATGAACACAGCATGTTTATTTTTGTGACCTTATTTTTGAATAGCAACTCAGACTATGTGAAACGTCTACTAACCCAGTAAGTACTTAGCTAAAGAAACAATACAATACACTTCAAAACCAATATGCATTCAATAGGTAATGTAATGATGCAGTGTTCACACCACAAAAAAGAGTGCAGATTATAAATTAATGAGTTTTTTGGTGTTTTTTTTTTCAAGTTAGTTTTTTCTTTAGGTTAGGTGGCTAATAGTTTTTATTGCCCAGTCAGTGATTTTATTATTAAAAACTGCCAAAGGACAGTTTTAGTTTAAAAACAGCACCACTCAGTAAGTGTTAAGTGCAGTAGGCAAGCACAATGTCTGTATGTTGGCAGTAAAAATAGTAGTGCTGTGGAAGTTAACAGTGTGTTTACAGTTGCATATCATACTCCTTTAGGTGGTCCATGACTTTCATGAAAGGCCAAAGGAAATCAGTCAGGAGGACCAGCAGACTAAAAAACTTGCGCACACACAGAAAAAAAACCCCAAACAATTATTTTGAAAGAATTAGGTTTTTTTCCATCTACTGAATAACAATAAAAAAAGATTTAGGTTCAAATAATTCAAATACATGAAAGGTAGCTGCAAAGAGGAGAAGAATAAGCTTTCCTCTTTGTGGGGAATAGAACAATAATAATAATGCACTTAAATTGTAATGAGGGATATTTAGTTAGACATTAGGGAAACATTCTGTAGGTAAGGTTAGTGAAGGATGGCAGCTGATTGATTGGAGATGCTGTGGATTCTCTGCTGGAGGGTTTGGGAATGAGGAAACATCCATCAGAGGTGGGTTGGTGCTCCTCGCTGGGAGGAGAAGGATGGATGAGATGGCCTACTGACATCACTTCCCACCCTACCTTGCCCAGGTCTGTTTTCATGCTGTGTTGGAACGCAGTGAGGTTAGAAACTGACCTGAAACAGCTTCTTTACGTTCTTTACCCTAAACTTTTTATGACAGTACATCTAAATTTACTCTGCTTAGGGCATAAGATAATAAAGCTTTAATATACTTTTCACCAGTAAGTTTCCATAAGACTTCTTCCGCAAAAAGGGTGTTAAGAGGACAGTCAAACAAAATTTGGGTTTCACTTGTGAAAATGCAGCCTATGTATGTAATCCTATTTAAACCCCAGTATTTTTATCATTGGGCAGTATTCTATGTGCATATGAAATCTTTCTTATCATTTGAAACAAAATTTGCATATTGTCATTGGGGATACTGTCATGGAGCCTCAGAAATTCATGGCTTCAGTTCCAGTTTTA